AGCAGTTGGAGGCAGTGTGAATTTCCAGTGTGTATATGTGCGTCTGTGTGGGCACATGCGTGTGTGTGTGTGTGTGTGTGTGTGTGTAACACATAGTAGGTGTACTTGTATGAATACTGGCCAGCAAGTAGAAGTTTTCAGTAAACTATCTTCTTATTTGTTTTCCATTTTTGTCAATTTTTCCTTTTCTCTTTTCTGCCTTTTTTTTTTGATTAGGTATTTGTTATAATTTCATTTCATCTTCTTCATTGGTCTATTAGCTGTAAGTGTTTGTTTTGCTATTTTGTTTTGTTTTGTTTTTTGTCTTTTTAAGACAGGGTCTCGCTATGCAGTTCAGGGTGATCTTGAGCTTACTTTGTAGTCCAGGATGGCCTCGAACTCGCAACGATCCTCCTGCCTCAGCCTCCCGAGTGCTGGGATTACAGGCGTGCGCCACCACGCCCAGCTTGTTTTGCTATTTTAATGGTTGGATTATGGTTCATGGTATACATCTAGAACATCTATAACTCACTGCAGCCTACCTTTGGATGATAGTTTATTACTTCATATATACTACATAAACCTTTCAGCAGTGTATTTCCATTTCTTCCTTTCTAGCGTTTGTGTTGTTCTTAGCCTGAAGTTTTCTTGTACATGGTAAAATTGCACACTACACTCCCGTTATGTTGTTTTAACATTCAATTATCTTTTAAAAATGTAAGTGATAAGAAAAATGTGCAAAACACACACAGTTGCTATATCTGGTGATCTTCATTACTTTCATCATTTTTCTCCATCTGGAAGGGCTTCTTTGAATAGTTCTTGTAGTTATGCATGTTTGATCCCCCAGATTGTAGTTTTCAGCTGAGGAGTTAGTTACAATCACTTGTTAAATGTCTTTGTCTGTTGAGTCTAACATCTGTGTAAGTTTAAATTAATTTATATTTCCTGCATATTGGAGACTATATTTTTCTTCTTGTTTGTATAATTATTAAATTAAATACCAGGCATTGTGATTGGGCCATTTCATTTCTCCTTCTTCTTCCTCTCCTCCTCCTCTTCTTCTTCCTCCTCCTCCTTCTTTTTGTTAAGAAAATTGGTGTGGTTTTATTGTATCATGAGGCACTAAAATGTCTGAACAAATCAGTGGTGAGGCAGCTGCTTTCTCCTTCACTTCTTGGGATTACTAGGGCAACTTGTCAGGAGATTAAGAAAAATGTCAACCTTTTGCATGACTTAAGTCTTTCCAAGGTATGTACTGGTACAGCACAAATTTCTCTGTGATGCAATGTCTGGTGTCAAAATACCACACACAACACCACGGGGGTAGCAGCACTCCCCACCCACCTCCAACGCAGCCCCCCTTGCTTGTGTATGACATTAGGAGCATCTGATATATCAGGAAGAGGAGTGAGGAGGAAGGAGGTTAGCTGAAGTTGTGTGGGGCAAGCCTGAACACATCATTGGTGCAAACCCAAGCATTTGTTGATGTTCTTTAATAGGATGTCTGATGGAGCCCCTGATGGGATCTTCCTCGGCCTTGAGCTGGCCCACAAGCATGTCGATGAGGCAGTTGTCTGGTGTAGGCTGATGGCCCTGCTGGATTTTCTGGAAAGCAAGGACCACTTTTTTGGACCACTTTTCCACAATGGGAGCTTTCCCCTAGAACTGCTGTCCTTCCCACATAAGGCTTGCCTTCCCAGATTGGCTTGTCTCTCATTTTAGAGTATCACTGCCCTTTAAGGGAAGTTGGGTAAGTGAACTGAGAGGCAGGGGCCCAGGGCAATGGTAACCATGGGAGTTTCTATGAAAAGTGCGAAGAGCTGAAGAAGTCAAGGGGCAGAGAGAAAGTGCCAGAGGCAGGGCAAAGACATGAGTCCCTGAAGATTATGGGAGGAAATCAGAGCGAGGGGCGTGTATCTAGTGATCTTAAATGCCTCTATGAGTGTCAGGGCACCCCAGCCAGCCCGACAGTGGGGCAAGCTGTTTGGACAAGAACGCCATGAAGTGTGGGGTTGAACCCTGTGACAGAACTCCTACTGCACATCCCCTATTGCACAAGTCTTACTGCGTTCAGTTTTATGAAGACTGAGGGGTGGGTGGGATCTGGAAGGGCTAAGGAGGAGGCAGTTTTTAGGGCTTCTTTTTAAGGTCCGAAAGGATGAGTGAGGTAAGGGCGTGTGATCTATGGGCTCCGCTGGGTTTCCCTTTGTAAGTTTGTGAGGGGTTTAGTGAGACGGGCAAAGCTGGGGACCCACAGCTACCCTGCTATGCTGAGAAAGGAGAGGAGCTGTTGCTTGGTGGTGGGAGTTGGGATCTGGGAGATCAAAGGCCCACGTCCTGGAGGTAGGGCTCGGGTGTGCTTGTGGAGAATGATGCAGATAAGTGGCAGACAGGGAAGAGATCTGAGCCTTAGAGGGAGAGACATGCTATCCCTCGGAATCTAGGTGCTGCAATAGTAAGAGTGTCCTTTGACTCAGAGGAGGGCAGCAGAGAAGGAGGTCATCTACATAGTGTCTAAGGTGGGGGGTGGTGAAAGGAAAGCAAATCATGCACAGGGCCTGACCGGAGTAGTGTACACTGTCCCAGGAACCTTGCGGCAGAATGGTCCAGGTTAACTGCTGGGACTGGCAAGAGTCCAGGTCTGTCCAGGTGAAGGCAAAGAGAGGCTGTGAGGAGGGGTGCAAGGGAATAGTAAAAAGGGCATCTTTTAAATCTAAGACAGGGTAACGAGTGGCAGATTAGGGGATAGAAGATAAGAAGGTATAGGGGTGGAGGGAGGACAATCTGATTGACAGTGCAGAGGTCTTATACCAGTCTGCAAGACCCATCTGTCTTTCCTACTGGGAGAATGGGGGCGTAGAAAGGAGAGTTGACAGGAATTAAAAGACCGTATTGCAGTGCGTGTGAAATAATAGGCTGTAGTCCCCATAAAGCTGAGTCAGAAATGGGTACTGCTTTGGGGCAGGACAGGGGTGGTCAGGCTTGAGAGGGATATTGACTGGTTGTTGGAATGAAGCTCAGATGGGGTGCAAGTGTCCCAGACTCCGGGGTTGAGATGAGGGGAAAGATGGGGTCTAGGGGGAGGGCAGGGAAGGAGTAATTAGGGTGGCTATAAGGGTGTGTCCTGGGGATGGTCAGAGCAGCTGACAACTTGGCTAAGATGTCTATAGAGGAATAGGCCAGGTAGGGATGACTAAAAATGAGCGTGGGAAAATATATTGACCCAGTTGGCACCAGACTGGGGGAGTTTTTAAGGGTCTGGAGGTTTTACCATTAATACCCACAACAGTGATTAGGGCCAAGGAAGTTGGTCCTTGGAAAGAAAACAAAATAGAATGGCAAGTGCCTGCATCGATTAGGAATGGGATGGACTTACCCTGTAATGTAAGAGTCACCCGGAGTTCGGCATTCGGCATGTTCCAGGGGGCCTCTGCAGGTTTCAGCCTAGTCAGTCCTCAGGGGCCAAGCTGAGAAGGTCTGGGAAGGAGCCTGTTGCGGGGGGAGGTCCTGGGGCTGTTGCCCAGAGCCAGCACAGCAACTGCCAATATTGGACAATCTAACTTCCACTGGGGACTCCCACAGGAAGGACGTGGCTCTGGGCATGCCCTGGCCCAGTGGCTATTCTGACAGCAATTTGGACCATGGCACTGGGATGTCCTTGAGGAGGAAGGCCTTAGAAATGCTTTTAGCAGTGGGGTGGGGGTCTGCTCCAACCTGAAGCTATCTTACAGCAGAGGCTAACATCTGCAGCTCAGAAATGTTTTCAAGCACTTTCATCTCTATTATAAAAACTATGAATGCTAAATTGATAAGGTCCTGTTGTGAGGTCTGAGGGTTAGCCTCCAGTTTCTGTAATTTTTTACGACTGTCTGGTGCTGATTGGGTAATAAAATGCATCTTTAGGATAAATTATCACTCTGGCCTTTCTGGGTCTAATGCTGTTTATCACCTAAGGGCAACATGCAGGTGAGCTATAAGCTAAGCTGGGTTTTCATCCCTGTTCGGAGTGGCTTCCTTTAGCTTATCAAAATGAACTGCCTTATGGGCTGCCCTGAAAAGTCTTTCTATGAAGTATGAAACCATGTGATCTCTGCCTGCTAGGTTCTCAGATGCTGCCTGAGAGCTCCAGTTAGGGCCTTCCCGGGGGACAGCTGTCATTCCCATGGGGAGGTCTGCCTGATGAGAGTTGCTGCTCATCCCCACAAGGCTGAGCCAGGGAGATCACTCATCCCCACTCTCCTGAAGAAAAAGCGGAGCCAAGGATCGCATTTATTTCAGACCAGGTTAGGCCATATGGCTGAGTTAGATATCGAAACGATTGGATATATCGAGTGGGATCTCAGGACAAGGAGCTCACTGGTTAACTTGGGAGAGATTTGTCAAAGAGAAAGGAATAGGAACTCTTAATAATTCTCTCTGCCCCTGCTACCACCTGGAGTGGGAACTGGGCAGGCAAGCTTTTGGGGCCAAACTGCAATCCAGACTGTGTATGGGTTAGACTGGGGTCAGGTGTAGCAGATGCAGCATATAGAGCAGGTACCTGGTCAGCTGGAGGCCCTACAGGAGGGTGGGAATGGAGGCAGCAACTGTGGGAATCTCTGAGGGTGGAGAAGAATTTACCATAGGTTAAGGCGGGAGCAGCAGAAGGGTATAGAGGAGCAAGGTCAGTGGATCTGTTGCCATTCTTTTTTTGTATGAGCCCTGTCCTGAACCATGTCAAGATGGCATCCACTTCAGTGCCCCACTGGAAAAGAGCATTCTAAGGTGGAGAAATTATGGAGCAAGCCTTGTGCTTGCACGGTGCGTATAATGGTCTCATCAGGTCCCTGAAGAATAGGCAGATGAAAGGGCATGTGGGACTCACGGGGGCTGGGATAACAGGCTTACTGAAGAGGAGGAGGCTGCTGAAATTGATTCCTGACAGTAGAGGAGGACTGTAGGTGCAGGGCCCAGGACACGCCTTTATTCACTCACTGTCAGCCCCACCTGCTCCCAGGCCCAAAGACAAATCACAGCCCTGCAGGGCTAATCATTTATTGAACAGGCAGAGAAAGCTCTTATCCATACACAGCTGCCCTAGGTCTGGCAATCAGAGAAATTCAGAGAAAAGCTTTGCTTGTTGGTGAACTGAGAAACCCTCCTGGGCGATCAGGGAAGATCTGGAGATGCCAGATGACACCTTCAGGTGTGAGTGCGGTGGGACTCGGGTAACAGAGCTTGTCAGCAGGCGGCGCAGATGAGGAAGAGATGGTGCAGAGTCCAGGTGGGGAAGCGTTCACTCAGCACTAAATCAGCAGAGGACAAGAGAACACAGAAACCACCGTGAGCCCCTCTGGGATTGAACTGAGGACAAGGAGAAATTTTGCTACAGAGAAAAATGGTGATGCTCGCCTCTTCATTCTAACTCATGTTATTTATCAGAATACAGGAAGAAATTACATTTCTTCTGTCACTAATGTCATCTGAACCTTCCCTCAACTGAATCTATAGAAAAAGAAATGAAATAATGAAGAGTCCTACAATTGCTTCTACCATCTTGGGCATCAGAAGTTTTTGAAGAATGAAAATTGAGGAATCATGACAAAAGCCACAGCCACTTTTTATTAACTGCTTATTTTAGGCAAGTTGCTGAGACTTTCATATACACTATCTGAACGAAACCCCACACAAATTCTGATGGAGGAGACAGACGAGGGAGGAACGGGGAGGACAAAGGAAAAGTCCGTCGCTCCATTCCCAGATGAGAAATCCTGGATGTGCAAAATTCAAAGGAAGACATTTTTGTGATCAGTTAAACAGAAACAAGCCCCACCCCTGGGCCTAGAAAATGAGCCACAGCACAGGTCCACGTACATTTATATTTGAGTTTCATACACAGTACTCTGTTACTCGCTTTCAGTTTCACACTGAGTCTTCATAATTTTTTAACATGTTATCCATCTCTGAGGGATTTTCAGGTACATTACAGCCACACAACTCTAAAGTACACATCATGGTAGCGCTGGGTCTTCAACCCAGGTCCTCCAACTCGAAACTTCAAACTCTACACGAACGCTTCCTCACCAAATGATTTCTATTGGGATCTTTGGGCCCAAACCCCTAATGCGTTTGGAAGACACTGACACCCGGTCCAGTCCCTCCTCGCCAGGGTCAGAGGTCACACACCTGGGGGCTTAGGCTACTTTCCATCTCGGGCCTGGAGACAGCGATCTGCAGAGGCAGAACAGAACACTTTCAGACACAGCTCCAGGTTCTTCACCCAAGAGAAACCAGATGAGTCTTCAGGTGGGGGCGAAGGGCACTGATTACCCTCCCTGGATTTGTCCCTTCTGTGACATGGCACATAGGAAAGGAAAGCCAGAGAGCTGAACTTACCAACGTTGGTCAGGTCTATTATGTTCTGCTCACCGATTCCATTTTCTTTACTAAATTCTTCAAACCTTTTCTTGATTTCCGGACTCACATCTGGTTCTCGGCCTGCGGGAAGAGTGCCAGTGACTGCTGTGTCTTGGGTCTTTGTTATCAAAGTGAACGAAGGGGCAGGGTTGGAGGAGGGTATTGGAAGCCTGGTAAGAGTTGGGTGCCCAGATAGAGTCTTGGGGGTAGGATACAACCTGTCCTGAATTTGACATCAGTAGGGCATCAGTGAGAGATTTCCTTCTTTCTTTTGTTTTTCAGACAGGGTCTCAATGTGTAGCTCATGCTGGCCTTCAACTCACTATGTAGCCCAGATAGGCCTCTAACTCGCCAAAATCCTCCTGCCTCAGCCTCCTGAGTGCTAGGATTACAAGCGTAATCCCTGGCCAGTGAGAGATTTCATCATCTTCCAATCACCAAGTCTGAGGAATTTCCAAAGGTCAGTGTCTGACTTCAGTGGGAGAGAGACAGTCCAGGATAAGACTGGAAAGACCATTTTGGATGTAGGGTTCCTTTCTTCACCTTTCTCCCCACCACAGGATGAGTGTAAGCAGAAAAATACTCTACCATAGAGCTCCAGCAGTTGAAAGCTTTCTTCACTCTTGAAATTCCTGAGCTGAAATATAGCATAGCTAACATAATCTGTCTCCACTATGTGAAATACATTGTATCCATCATCTGTGGGGGAAACAGAATTCAGCTCAGGACTTCTTTTATCCACGGGAAGCAGTAGAAACCCTTTACCTGTTCTGTCCCACAAAACACATCCAAATGCATATTCTAGAAGAGATGAAGAGTGAAGACGTCACATGCCTTCCGTTCGCATCCCCCTGGACTTTGTAAGGTCATGTCTAAGGAAAGGGAGCCTGAGAGACTGACCACTAGCACAGAAACACCACCAGAGCTGCAGTAACCCGCCTCCTCTCATCTTCTGTGAGACCGAGCCACCTCCCTCAGCCTCTGCTAGTGACGCCCCTCTGTCCTCTCTGTGAGTCTACTGGCCTTGCATGTCTGGTGCTACATCCTGTGCAGTGAGGTCTGCAAGATGACAGGAAATGAGAACCTACCTCATCCATTTGCTTTGTTGTCCCTGCTTTTTTCTTTTGCTGGGGAAGGTCCCTGTGACCAAATAGCATTCTTTATCTGATGGTACTATGTGCTGAGTATTGGCTTTTGCAAATATACATAAACGTCTCCCAATGCAGGGTGTCGGTGATTGAACCATTCCCATTTCATTGTGAAAATAAATATTGATCAAGAAGCAGAAAACCATAGGGTTTAGGCAGTTCTTTGCAGATCAGAATATAATTTAGAAAACTTTTCAGTATACTTACATTCAACGCCATATACACCACCATCTTTTTTGTCTGCAACCAAAGACACTGCAGTACATTCTCCATTTACACTGTAAAAGAGGATGAATGGATGCCCAGGAGGATTCACTGAGGCTCCCTCACCCTTCACTTTACCCATAACTTTAGTTTCTGATTCTACTCAGCTTTAAAATGTCTTGTTGTTGTTGTTTTTGTTGTTGTTTTGTTTTGTTTTTGCGAGATGAGCTCTTGCTATGTAGTTCAGGGTGGCCTTGAACTCACTATATGGGCAGACTGGCCTCAAACTTGCAGCAATTCTCTTGTCTCAGTCTCGCAAATGCTAGGAATACAGGCATGCACCACTATGCCTCCCTTTCAACTTTTACTTGCACAATTACCAAAGAGCTTTTATTTACAATTCTTTCACTCAATTTAATACTTTAAGAATGACTTCAACACCTGCTTCACATCATTACTTCCACCGGTTCTTCCCACGATTACTGTTATTCTACTGCAACCATTTGTCTAGGTCAGTGGTAGAGAATCTGTGGCACAAACGTTACTTGTTTTAGACAAAGATGTTAATGTATGAGCTGTTTTTTCTAAACTAAAATTTTAGCTTTCAGGTTTAATTGCAGTGTTGGCACTTTCCAATAAATAAATGGGTCTTAGATTGCAGGTTGGGCACTCATTTCTAAAGGGTTTACCATCACTGACTAAGGAGGTCGTTAGTTCAGTGTAGTCCATCTGCCAGGTTCTCAAATGAATACTTTACATTCATCACCTGACTTAATATTCATTAAAAACCGTCAAGGAGAATTGCTATCATCTCCTATTACCCAAGGAAGAGTGATGGTAAAAGACAATGACTTTTCTTGGCAAACTAGTAAGAGATAGATTCCACTTCCGGTGGATGATTCTAATCTCCATGCTCTTAATCTATGCTATATTGTCACATTAATTATGATTCCAGCATCCCTCTATTCCCTGCTTTCGCCTATGCCCAATAAATTTGTTTCTGTAACCAGCTCTTGCCTCTGAATCTTGAAAATCCCCAGGTCCATCAAACCTTGGGTTAGCGGTGGAAGAGAGACTGATTCTGGTTAAAAGCTCAGCACTTGTGTGTATGCAGGCACTTGCCGGTGCGTGCACGTGTCTGTATGTGTGAATCTGTGTAGGTATGAGATCATACTCTGGCCTCGATTTTCCTTTTTGCAATTAAAACAGGCCACACTTACTGTGTATGGAATTTAAAGCTCAAGGAAGAGTCCTTCAAGGCACGGATGCGTTCCACAAAAACCTTCATGCTACCGTTTTCTTCTATTTTTTCCTTTTTGTCAGAGGCCAACAGAATAGAATACCACTTCCCTGAAAGCTGAAAGAAGTGACATAATTAGCTGAGAAGAGAGGAGGGAGGTACACACTGAACAAAATGAATGTTCCCAAGCACTGTCTTATTTTCACATGGCACAGTTCCTCTCAGTTCAAGGTCTGAAACCACTCCTTTTGTCTGTTTAAGAGCCCCTTCCCTCCCTTAGGGCCCACCTGACTTCAGACTCTCCAAACCACCCCTCAAGGTCAGAGTTGCTCTGCTCCGCGACTCTACCTTCTCCAGATCAAAGTTGCTTCTCACAACATCGTTGCCTTCCCCATGGGCACAGAGCAGAGTCAGCCCCAGACACAGCAGCAGCAGCTTCATCTCGGGAGGGCATAAACTGTCTCTTGCACAGCAGCCAGAGGTGAGCCTTTCCCCAACACCAGCTCCTTCCTGGGTCTTCTGGCTTTATATCCATTCTGGGCCCAGGTTTGTGGTCTACAGGTTTCTACCTTTCCTCCTCCCGCTCTGTGAAACCATTTTTCATTCACTGGTGTGAGGCCAAGGATTGTCTGTGCCCTTTTGAAACTTGGCAACATCACCTCTTTTAGACATAGTTAGTGACCTTCCAGTTCTCCAAGCACATTCACAAAATAAACAGTGAGTGTGCTACAGCACTGCCATTTGGAAACAGATTTAACTGTGGATCTGATTTGGAATTGGACAGCCGATCACGTGTGGTAGGAATGGGGCATAACTAAAGAATGTGTGGGGAATCTCTCTTTCATGACTTACCTAGGGTATAGAATTAATTCAGTTAGTCAACTTCTATAATCCTAAGAAACAAAGTATCTCTACTGAAGCTGCCGTGTAGGACCTATCATAAAACATTGAAATAGAGTTGCATAAAATGATGTCTTTCAAGTAAGGTGACTGATATTCAGTGCATCTTAATTCCTTTCTCTTATTCTCTGAGCTCAACCACTAAAGCCTTCCCTTTTGCAGAATAAATGAACAAATACTTAATCACTATGCCCAAGTCTATTCCAGGGGCTCAGAAGAGAAAGGAGAACAAGGTATCATCCCCTTCCTTCAATAACCTTCAATGATTTGGAAAAATACTTTATATGCTTAATTCTGTCAGCCTATACGATGACCCAGCTGAGTGGTACCAAATTCAGACTAAGTAAAGGGGGCAACGTATGGCATCGTGTAGAAAGTGCTTCAGGGCACAGGCTTTGGAGTCGGGCAGACCTGGGCTTCATTCTCATATCTGTCATTCTGAAGCCATGAGGACAGGTTTTCACCCCTCAATGAAGATAATTATAGCTGCTAATAGACGGCTGTAGAAATTCAGTGGGACAGTGCACAAAAACTGTCCACTTAGCATAGCCAGGTGGGCCCACAGAATGCTTGCTGGGCAAAGTGAGACTTGCAGTAGGGTCTTGAGTGTGAGGGAGGGTGTGGAGATGTGGAAAGCAAGGGGCAGCAGTATTGCAGGTGTGAGCAATATTGTGCATTAGGATCCCACGGTGCCAGCCACGTGGTTGAAAGCTATGGCTCACTGCTGCCTTAGACTAATGGATGCCCCAATCTAGAAAGAGCCTGACGTTATGGGAGGAGGTGGGCACAAGGCAATGAACCTAGGAGCGGTGGGTTTCCATCTGTGGCCTACCAAAAAGCCATCCCAGTCCCTGTGTGATCACTCCTAGTTCTTGTTCAACCAATTTCTTAATCCCTGGAATTTTTTTGTTGTTCTTGTTGTTTTGAGACAGAGTCTCGCTCTGCAGTTCAGGCTGGCCTTGAGCTCACTTTGTAGCCCAGGACACCTAATACTTAGTGTCACCAGAAACCAGCCTGAACTTCAGGGAAAATAAAGGTGCAGGCTCACTGCGATTATCCACTACCCCACCATAAAGCTGCTGCTGGCTTGCTGGGATACATCAACACGAATCTAGACTCTGTCTCCACATGTCTACCAGTGACAGCAGAGACAAACCTTGAAGTGGATTTTTTTTTCTCTGTCTCTTCCCCTCTTCGTTGTTTGATCCTATTTTTACACGAATGTGAATGTGGCTTCTACTTTTTTTGTGGTTGTTCTGTTCTGTTCTTTTTATTTCTTCCTTCTCTCTTTCCCTCCTGTCTTCTGCACCGGCTTCCCAAAGTTTGCATGGTCCTCCTTCATCCTCCAGCCTTGCTTGTAATGTCTTCCTCTTCTTCCATTTCTCTACTTTTTCCCCTAACCCCTTTTAAATCTTCTTCCCTCAGGGTAAAATTGGCATATTGAGGGTTTTCCTCTACTTTCCTGCAAATGACTCAAATTTATCCTGCTAGCAGAATAGTACTCCATTGGATGATTTGGTGATTACTACTTTTCTAATAAAGAATTAGAGGCTATTCCCACAGCAAAAAGCAAGAACTATTTTCTTCCATGCAGGGCTTAAAATCAAATATCTGGTCACCATCACGTTATGATTCCACCACCTAACACTGCACACAGAACATTTTGTAAATGACTCGGGGGAGGGGTGGCAGTCTGCCAGGTAGTTGAGAAATGACTGGCACGTGTACTGGCCCAGCATATTGTTAGGAGTTTATGGAGGCCATGTACAATAACAGTCCACTTACAACCATGTAGTTTGACTAATTGGAAATGTACCTGCTGACCTTGTCCTCAATCATACTCTCAATCAAACAAGTCATTCATGGAGAAACCCAGTGGGATGTTCAAGTCATGTTACATAACACCAAGGCATACTCAGTGCCAAGAAGAATAACAAGAAACACAGGCTTATCTGATTCATGTGCCAGCGTGAAAATATTCCTGATCTGATAGCAGCTACGGGGATTGGTGCTGGCTCAAAAGCAGTTCTAAGATACCCACTTCCTTCCACAATTGAAGGAGACTTGGAGCAGCTGATATTCACCTGTTCGAGGTGGGTCCTCTGCAAAACAGAGGCCAGTATAGACTTAAGAGGGCAAAAAATGTATGGAGGTATGTGAAAGGAGCAGGGAAGAAGAATTCGGGAAGGGGAGCTGCCAGACCATGAAGTAGATCTGGCAAGGACTGTCAGCACAGGGGACTCTGAAGCTTGCTGGAGGAGTACCATAGGCAGAAATGTTATCCCGTTGTACTAGAGTTTTGCTCAGTCATTAACTGGCATTGATTGCCCCAAGAAGACCAGTACTGTGCCTTGGCTCAAACACTGAGGTGAATCTAAAGGAGTTAATAGTCGAGGCTGTCATCCAGCCACACACTCACTAGACAATAAGTCTTTTCTTTCAGAAAGACTTTAAGCAATACACCTCTGTGGTTGGTGAAGAGCCAGTTAAGTATTGATGGTTCCATTTGGTGCAGCTGAAAAGTGGTGATGCTCCTATTGACATTAGTGATTTTTATTCTGAAGTGTGATAGTTGATCTTACATTATAGAATTAAAAAACAATTTAGCTATCAATGTGAGAAACTCTAAAAATATTTAAAATCAGACTATTAAATGTGCCTATATAGCCTAACAATAACTGGTTTTTTGTGGGGGTTTCCTTTTTCTGTGGATTGAACCCACAGAACTCTGGATTGAACCCACAGTCTTGCACTCAGGTAGCTTTACCCCTTTTTATTTTGAGACAGGGTCTTGCTAAGTTGCCCAGCCTGGCTTTGACTTGTGATCCTCCTGTCTCAGCCTCCCACATATCTAGGATTGCAGGTGTGCCACTCCAACGGGTTGAAAGTTTCTGAATAGAATATATGGAATGAACTTACTTGCAATATATATATTTTTAAAATGTACCAGTTACTGGAAAGACCTCTTTTGTTCATAGATTGGCAGAATTAATATTATTAAGATGGTCATATTATCAAAAGTGATCTACAGATGCAGTGTAATTCCTATTAAAATTCCAAAATCACTCTTCACAGAATCAGGAAAAAGAATCTTAAAATTCATGTGAAAACACCAAAGATCCAGAAGAGACAATGCAATTCTAAGCAAAACGAGTAGGCTAGAGGGATCACCATATCCAATTTCAAATTATACTACAAACCATTATAACAAAAACTAGCACAAAATAGAATATAGACCAAAAAAACAGAGTAGAAGACACAGAAACAATTCCATATAACTATAGCTATCTGGTTCTGGACAAAAATTAAAATATGTGTTGGAGAAAGGACAACCTCTGTGACAAATAGTGCTGAGAAAACTTGATATCCAATTGTAGATGATTGAAACTAGAGCCTTATCTCCCATCCTGTACAAAAGTCAATTCAAAATGGAGAAAAGAACTGAGTATAAGACCTGAAATTGTGAAAGTGCTGAAAGAAAACACAGAGGAAACACCTAAGGCATAGGTACAGGCAAAGACTTCCTGAATAGAATTCCAATAGCACAGGAAAGAATAGCAAGAATTAACAAAGGAGACTACATTAAATGAAAAAGTTTAGACATAGCAGGGGAAACAACTACAGAGGATTAATATCTAATATCAATATCTAGTCTTACAAATGAGAGAAAATTTTTGCCAGCTACTCTTTGACAAAGGATTAATATTTGGAATATATAAAGAGCTCACATTTCAGAACTCAAAAAAGGAAATACCAAAAAAATAGAGAAAAATATCATAAATTCCCACGGAATCAGAAAAGATCCAGAATAGAATGAACCCTGAGGAAAAAAGCGATGCTGGAGGCATCACACTGCTACATTTCAAGTTACACCACAAAGCCACAGTAACTGAAATACCATGTATTCCCACTAGAAAAACTAGCTAAACAGATCAATGGACTAGCACAGAAAATATGGGAACAAACCCATGCACCTATGGCTGTCTGGTTTTTTACAAAGGAGCCAAAAATATACACTGGAGAAAAACAATCTCTTTAATAAATGGTATGGGGAAAACTGAATATCTACATGCAGAATACTGAAACAGGATCCATCTCTCAACCTGTACTAAAATCAAATCAAAATGAGTCAAAGACCTAGATACAAAACCAGAAACTTTAAACTGCTGGAAGGTAACATAGAGGGAATACTTGAAACCCTTGGTACAAGTAAAGATTTCCTGCATAGTATTCCAGTACCTCAGGAGATAATAGCAAAAGTCAACAAATTAAAAGCTTCTACACAGCAAAGGAAACAATCAGCCAAGTGAAAAGAGAACCTACAGAATGGGGGAAAACTTTGTTTGATACTCTTCTGATAGAGGATTAATATCTAGACTATATAAAGAACTAAAATTAACTCCCCAAAACAAAAGATTAATAAAAAATGAGCAAATGACTGAATGGACATTTCTCAAAGGAAGTACAAATGGCCAGCAAATGTATGAAAAAACTTTCAACATCTTTAGCCATTAAGGAAATCTGAATAAAAACAACTGAGATTCCATCTTACTGCATCAGAACAGCTATGAACAAGAACACAAAAAAAGGAATGCTGTCAAGGATGCGGGCATGGAGAGTATGACACAATAGGA